GTCTGGACAGACTACAACAGCGGCACGTGCTGGCTGAAGTCGAAGCAGGGCGGGAAGGTGGTATCGTTCGGGTCTCGCGCGGCGTTCGCCGCTGCTGGTAGTACACCGACGTGCCTCCCAGTGGAAGCGAACACGGATTTTAGCGGCGAAGACATTGCCGACGTCGCGGGGGCTCCTGACTTGTGCTGCGGCGCGTGCAAAGCCAACGACAAGTGCAATGCGTACAGCTGGTTCGACGGCGTGTGCTACCTCAAGGGCATGCGCCGCGGACCTTTCCACAAGGCGAACGTGCACTCGGCGCGAGTGTACAAGTGCCAGCCGCTGGAAATCAACATGGATTTCGTCGGCAACGACATCAGCAACGTGTCGGCCGAGGCGGCCGAGGACTGCTGCGCCGTATGCCGCAACACGGCCGGCTGCAAGGCGTTCTCGTATGCGTATGGCGTGTGCTACTTGAAGAGCAGCAAGGGCGCGACCAAGTCGGATGGTAGTGTCACGTCGGCCGCAGTCTAATGTGGCGACGGATGAATCTCGCTGAACATGGTTTGGTCTCGGTCCAGCTTTGCAACTTATGGTTTTCTTGTGCAGACCTGATGGAAAACAAACACGCACTGCAAATTCGACGATTTGCAAAAACCATATCCATTTTTGGAGTTTCTGACAATGGATTTCTACTGCACAAGGCATTCAAAAATCAACACAAGAATGAGAACCCAAAAATATCGCCTACACTTTGACAAAGTCGATAAAGACCAAACTGAGGGATAATGCAAATTATAGACGCACAACATCGAGTGCAGCTATTTGTCGATTGCGTTACCATTTTTCAACACTACTTGAGCCATTCGTGTTGGCATTCCATCTACGAGCTTACGCAGGTAGGACTGTTGGATTTTATCCCAACAAACACGGATCTGGGCTCGCAATTCCTCGACAGTGTCAAACTGACGGCCTTTTTCGTACACCAGCCACGACAATTGACCTCAAACATTTTCAATTGGGTTCAAATCCGGACTCTTAGCAGGCCACGACATCACATCAATACCTGTATCCCTCAAATGCACCATAGTATCTCTTGAAACGTGGATAGATGCGTTGTCTTGTTGAAAACTTGGGTCGTGAATGCCTTCGTCGCGACGAAGGTTTCCCAGTAGGGGAAGCAAATGCATGTCCAGAGTACGGCAGTAGCGTGAACTGTTTTGTTTCCCCTCGAGGAAGGCCAATTCGCTGTGTCCATACGCGGTCATCGCGGCCCAAATCATAACACTTCCTCCACCGCACACACGCTTCGTGAAAATTTCTTGTTCCTGTCTGGGGTCATGCCAGTAATATTGTTAGCCATCTGGGCCGTCCAAGTTGAACTTTTTCTCATCGCTGAACACGACACATGTCCAGAGATGAGATTTGCTCATCCATTCGGTTGCGAACTTGGCTCGGGCTTTTTTGTGGTGGGGCTTGAGGGCTGGGCGAGGTTTACGCTTGATGTACTTCGCCAAATTTGTGGAGCGAAGCCGTTAACGCACAGTAGATGCTTTGACCTTATAATTAAGTGCATTAGCTGTGCACTTGGATGACATTTGCTTGCTTGTGGCCATTCTGAAGATTTGGCGAAGCATACGCTTGGTCATTTTTGGCTTGCGACCGGGACGTTTTAGAGGCTTCGTGTCGCTCAATTTGCTAAGGCAAGTTCGAATGGCCATTTCGCCAGCCAATGTAGCGTGCAATGTGGCGATTGCTTTTTCCTTCGTGATTTAGGGCTTTTACGGCCCCAACTTGCTCCGATGTCAACTTTTTACCTCGTGGCATGTCAAAGTTGTAATGACATGCACGCTATACGTCCCAGGGCATGATGTGAGCAGCTGGAAGCTTCTAGAATGCCAAACACAGCTGTAAAGTGCTCTTGATGTTGACTTTTTGTAGACAATGCCTGGTGCGTCTATACTTTGCATCACCCCGTCAATGGTTTATGTCAAATCTGTGCAAGTACATTCAATATTTTTTGGTTCTTCTCTTGGAGTTCATTTTGGTTTGCCATGTGAGGGACAGGTTTGAAAAGGATTGTTTCAAATTTGATGTGGTTTTTCCTGAAAAGTCGAATTTGCAAGTGCGTCTATAATATCCATCAGGTCTGTAACACGTTCGTTTCATCGCTTGGCGGCGAACAACACTCGAGTGCTAATAATGATGCGAGGACTGGGTCAGTCCCTCCGTTCGTGTAATTGCATCAACGCCAATTTCCAGTGCACCACGATGGTGTCCTTGGCCAAGTCATCGTGGCTGCTTCTGGCCCTTGCAGCACACGACAACGGCCAAATCATGTCATTCGTCGGCGTAGCCAAGATGGAGTGATTTCGGCCGAGCCTCGGTTCGACAACCCGCGGCAAAGTTTGGGTTACCGAATGTTGGTAGGAATGTTGGTCTCTGGGAAACGCTGTCCTCCTGAGTGGCGAGGTGAAGCAGGGGATTGACTGGTATATGAAATCACTTTTTGGATTTGTCATCGAGGTCACCGTTGTGAACACGGTCGTCGTTGGTTGAGAACACCGGCGCAAGACAACAAAGAATTCTTTATCTGTCTTCCAGACAAGCTAGAATGGAACGCATGGAGTCGCCCGGGACGGGGAACGGCCATGCCGTGGACGTGGAGCTACCCAGTAGCGACTACGGGGACTCTGCCGAAGTACGATCCAGTTCGGATCGCTCGGCGAGTCCTGCGTCCCGCCTACCTGGCGGAGAACGCGTTGAAGACCGAGGAGGGCCGAGATCGTCTGCGACTGCGTGACGGCTGTTCCGGTCACCACAAGGGAGACGTCAGCCGGTGGCGGCTGACGAAGCATGGAGCTACGGGAGACCTGCGACTTTTGCGGCTCCCGTGTTTAGCTGAGTGTCTGGGACACCCGGGGCGCCTGCCCAGGAAGACGTGGATATGAGGCAAGGCGACGTGTATTTGCACAATGCCCCGGCCCTACCGAAGAATCTGACGTTCAAGGGAACCACCAAGGAAGAGAAGCAGGTTTTTATGGTTGTGTACAATGTGTGGATCAGCCAGACGAACACCCTGACTGCCAACGGGGCGCGACAGTTGATCATGCCGGTGAACGCATGTATCGAGCCCGGGACGAAACAGTGGATCGCCGAATGGGACATGGGGAAGGATCCCGACGACGTATCCGAGGGCGAATGGGTCGCCTGGTTCATGCAAGGCTACGATATCGACCTTCGGGCCCTGGATACTTTAAAGAAACGAATCAAGTCCGCCGTCGTTTTTGACATGTCAATCCCGGACGCGGACTCCAGGATCAGACGTATGTTGGATGGCCTAGCCGCTGCTATCCACCGGCACCGTCAAGAATGGGTGATCCGGGAATAAAGCCAGGCCATCGTGAAGATTATCACGGATGCGGTCAAGCCTGCATCGCTCCATCGCGCGGTTACCGAGCAGATGGCGCTGACCAGGAACAAGCCCTTGAAGAAGGATGTGTAACGTTTTGTCCGCTGGCTCCGGGAGTATGCGATCGGTCACGAGCGACTTGTGGGTTACGAGGAAGAAGAAACGCTGCCCCCGCGACCGAATCTTCCGAAGCCGCCCGGGGCAAAGATCCTGGGGACGATGAAAGCGCCGAAGAACGACTTGAAGCCACCGGCACCTGCCCCAGTTGCCCCGGCTACTTTGTGCCCTCGAACAGCTGCCTGAAGTGCAAGCAACCAGTCAGCGGGTCCGGGACTGTCCCGGTATCACTGCCGAGGAAGTCAAGGAACTCTTGAAGGCGCACGGTCGAACATTGGGCCGAGGCCGAGGCGCCGGGAAGGGTGCTCCAAGTGTCCCGGGAGCCCCGGAGGCCGGAGGACGAGTGGCGATTATGAAAACGGGCTTCTCGTGGGCGAAGCGTCCTGACCTCCCAGCTATCCTGGAAGGGGTGCTACATGTGTGTCCAAGCGTCGCTCCTGGACTCTGGAGCGGACCTGTCGGTGGCTTTTGGTGGCCTGGTATCTGCGCTGCTGGCCGCGGGAGCGTCCCCGGAGAGCAAGGTCATGGGCCCTATGGAGCTCCGACCGTATGGTGCAGACAGCCAGGTGATTACGGTGACGAAACAAGTTCGCCTGAGAAGCCTGGAATTCAAGACTGCGTGCGGGCCGCTGCTGTTGCGGGGGCTCCGGGTGTGGGATGATGAGACCGTGGCCTTGATCGAGCTTACGTTGGGTCTGCCCGTGATGCAGAAGCTGGGTTACAACTACCAGACGTTGTTGGAGAATGCACGCCGACAATAAGCGGTTTGGAATTTCGGCGATCAGCCGAACTCAACCCCGGGAGTCGCGATGCATCGTTCCCTGCGAGTCGAGCAGTTGTCAAACGATATCGACGATGGCGAAAAAAGGCGTGCGCGACCCCGGAATTGGGGGACCAGCCCCAGGATGTTACCCCGGTGCGCAAGATATTGGAAGCCAAGGTAGCCGAGGCGGTTGCATAGGGCATGGAAGAATTGGCGGTCGAGTAGCTCCGGGACCCATTTGATGGAGTTCCGGGACGTTTTCCGGCTTAAGTTCGGGAGAGATCCGCCGGTCAAAGTGGAACCGCTGAAGGTGCGCCTCAAGGACGGGGCCGTGCCGGTGAAGATGGGACTGCGACGGTACCCTCCCACACATCTGGCGTTCCTGGAAAAACATGTCCGGGAACTGGAAGAAGCGGGTCTGGTGTATCGGAACACGAGATCCCGGTGGGCGGCGGCCCCGAGGATCGTCCCCTTAAAAATACCCTGGGGACCTTCGGATGGCGATTGATTTGAGACCGATCCACACGTGCACCAAGCCGATGCCCTGGCCCATGCCAAACTTGGACGTGGCCATGAGCGTGTTGAAGGACTCAAAGGTCTACTTTACCCTGGACTGGGTGAAGGGGTATTGACAGCTGCATTTACACCCGGAATCCCAGGTGTATTACTCCTTCATGACACCCGCCGGGGTTGTCACCCCGACCCGGGTCTTGATAGGCCAGGCCGATGCGGTGGCCTACTGTGAAGGAGTGGTGGACGAGCTGTTCGGTGAGCTCCTGATGCACGGTATCCTGGGGTGGTTGGATGAACTCCTGGGTTATGCCCGGACCTCAGAAGAGCTGCTGCGCCCTTTGCGCCAAGTGGTCGAGATCTGCCATTCGTATGGTCTGAAAGTTGCACCCCGGGAAGTGTGTGTTTTACACGACCCGGACGATATGGTGTGGGAAAGAGATCTCGGCGACCGGCGTGGCACATGCTCCGGGGCGGGTACACGGCCTGTGCGATTTGGAGCCGCCTCAGACAGCAGCCGACCTGCAGCAGTTCCTGTGCGCCACGAACTGGATGCGGGAGAAAATCCCTCATTACACGGAGCTGGTAGCCCCGTTGACGAAGCTTTTTGACATTGCAGCCAAGGCAGCCGACTCCCGGAAGAAGGCGGCCCTGACTCGGGTGTCCCTGAGTTTGGTTGGGTGGTGCGGAGACCATCTGTAATGTTTCGACCGGGTCAAGGAATCGTTAAGACGTATGGTCCCGTTATCACACCCGGATCCGGACAAGATGGTATGTCTGTATACTGACACGAGCGAGGGGTTGTAGGGAGCTGTCGCAACCCAGGTGCCCATTGTAGACTTGGCGTTACCGGCGGGTGATCAGCGACATGAACCCTTGGCGTTCCTGAGTGGGGCGTTCCGGGGGGCGAGCGAGCGATGGCTAATCGTCGAGAAAGAAGCGTTCGCGGTAGTGGAGTCGTCCAAGCGTCTGGAGTACCTCCTGATCCGTCCTGGGGGATTCCGGCTGTTTTCGGACCACCGGAACCTGGTGTACAGTACATGTTCAACCCCCTGGGGTCAAACTCGAATTTGGCCAAGTACCAGGCCCACAAGCTCCAGCGCTGGGCGCTGACGATGACGACGTTCCCGTACGTCGTGGAGTGTGTGGCCGGGGAGGAAAACCTTGGGCAGACCTCCTGAGCCTTTGGGGAAGTCCTCCCGGTGAGCCCCGGACCGTTCCGGAGATTTCTCGGGGCGCCCGGATGTCCAAGCTAGCCCTGGTGTCCCCGCTCCGGCATGAAGACTTTGTCTGGACGACGACGAATGCGATATCGGAGTTGCAGCGCGGTCACCCGGACTGTGAAAAATACGCCCCCGAGAAGAAATGTTTCCTGACGGCCTCTGGAAAGATATGGATCCCGGGAGATGCATTGGACATGCAAATGCGTATTAGTGTGGCGGCCCACGGCGGGGTGGCTGGGCATCGCCGAGTCGAAGGGACGGCGGTAACTGTCGCGGTGATGTTTGATTGGCCGTCCCTGAAGGCTGACGTGAAGAATTTCGTCACTGCTTGCCTCCATTGTATGATGGTCGACGGTTAGTCGGTACCCCGTCCCTGGGTGAAGCACTGCATGCGACAAAGCCGAATGAGTTGATTCATTTGACTGGCTGTCGCTCCCGGAAGCCCAGGAAGGCCTGAAGTACGTCCTGGTGATCAAGGATGATATCCGGGTTTGTTCGTTTGCATGCCAGCAAGACAGCGTCCGCGACTGAGACAGCCTCGGCGCTTATGGAATGGTTTGGACTTTTCGGGGTGGTAAAGACCTGGGTGTCCGATTCCGGGTCCCATTTCAAGGATGAGCTGATCAGCATCCTGGGTCGTTTGTTTGGTGCCCATCACCATTTTGAGACCCCCCATTGTCCCTGGGCAAACCGGACATTGGAAGTTGTCAACCGAGTCGTCGTGAGGACCCTGAAGACCTTGTGCAGCGAGATGCGTTTGAGGCCTGTGGACTGGCCGAGCGTGTTGCCCCTGGTGCAGTCCGCCTTGAACCAGCAGCCGACAGATCATTTGGACGGTGTGGCAACGACAGCGTTTACGGGCCTGCCTTCGACCCCTCCCCTGTCAGGTCTGGTTCACCCGGACGTGCCCGGGGAAGTCTCGATGGATTGGGTGAAGTCATAGTCAAAGCGACGTGTCGTAGGACTTGCAACAGCCCTGGAAAATATGCACAAGCATGTGTCCGGGGTAGCCGAGGTGAAGCGGACCAAGGCCCGAGAACGTCGTGAAAGTCAACGAGCTGTGAAGCTTGCAAAATTTACCCTGGGAGATTTTGTCCTGATGGCCCGGGCTCTCAAGCACCTCGTGAAGCTTACTTTGCGTTGGAAAGGGCCTTTCCGTGTTGTCAAGGTAGTCTCGGACTACCTGATGGAAGTCCAGCAGCCGGTGCCCCCGGGCGACGTTTCCCTGCACCATGCAAGCCGGCTCCGTCTTTACTGTGAAGGTGGTCGCGACGTGGATGAAGATTTGAAGGCCCAAATTGCGTTCGGCGACGAGGACCTCCGAGACTTACGTCTACGTGACGGGGTCTGGGAGGTCCTTATCAAATGGTTCGGCCTGGGCGAGTTGGAGTCCTCCTGGGAGCCGGCCATGTCGATCTACGAAGATGCTTTCGTGCTGTTCCGTCGCTGGGCCAAGACCCGAAGCAATGAAGAGGGTGTCAAGCGAAATTATTGAAGACCAGGAGAGCGCGTGTGGCCACCCGGTGTAGGGGGGAAGTGTTATCGGCAGAGCCTCGGTTCGACAACCCGCGCCAAAGTTTGGGTTAACGAATGTTGGTTCCTGGGTAGGAATGTTGGTCCCTGGAAAACACTAGAGCTTGGGAGCAGTAGAAAACTACATGAGCAGCAACACAAGTATATTGGAAATAACCATTTGTACTTACAATACAACTGATAACTTGGTACCAGATCGAGGTACTGATCAATGACAGCATCTCTGACTTGATGTAATAGAGAGATTTCACAGCTCGTGTTTTGACGTTCGCGTTCTATTTTTGATATGTACGAGAGGTGGAACGACAGTTTAATTCCGTATGTTTCGCAACGTCGTTCCCATAAATAGCATTCATAAAGGTCAGTGGCTTAAACGCTCATCACCATGGACGAGCAGCAGCTTGCTCTTCGCGTGTA